ACGTATTAGTCTCTCCCAGACTCCGCTAGCGTGTGAAGCCTTTGGCGGTTGGAACGCCCACTGACATCCCTTCTGAAGTAGTTCGTCCAAGACCTGTTTCTGGTTCCAGTCTTCTATCGCTTCTCTAATTTCCCTTTTTGCACGACAAAGTTTGTCCCATTGTCCAAGTAAATACACTTGGGTGGGCCTCGTCGATTCATGAATCTTTTTCGAACATTGATGAAGCAGTGTGACTCTAGAGAAGTAGCCAGTTCCAGATGCACGGCCGTAGAATTCAAACAGGTTAATATGACACTCCATCTCTTCACCACGGCTCTCCCTCTTTTCATGTTTAACGGTCCAAAATAGTCGACGCCAGTGTGATTGAAGCATGGTTGATAAGCTGTAGTGCGAAACGCTGCTAGGGTGGCCATCATCTGCTCCATAGTGGCTACCCTTTGCTTCTTGCACTTTAAACAGGATCGTACTACTTTATGCACAGCAGACCTCCCTCGAGGTATCCAAAACTGCTCCCTTAAACTTGCCAGTATGTGGGTCTGACCAGCGTGCGCTAGCCGTTGGTGGAAGGCTGCAATAAGCAACTGGGTGACATGGTGCCCTGGTGGCATGATCATTGGGAACTTGGCTCCAAAGGCAATGGCGGCTTGAGAAATGCGTCCTCCAACTTGCATTACTCCATTATCCAACATTGGCCGAAGCTTGACAATTTTGCTTGAATATTTGACGTTCTTTTCCTTTTCCAAGTCGCCCATCTCAGCCTTACTACAGCGGTTGTAGCTTTCTGTTGGTCATCTTTCGTTAAGTACTTTGAACTGCTGTTGTCTTTATCTTTCTTTAGATATGACTTGAATTTTGACAGCGAGGCTACCTTTTAGAATAGCACTGACTAGGAAGAATACTTTACAAGGAATTCGGGCATTCTATTGAGTGACTGCAAAGTGAATATAGCCTTTTCCACCTTGACTTCTAAGTTGTTCTCTGGTAGATGGCCAATTTCAGTGGTCGGCCACTCTGCCTCTGGCTGGGATAAAAAGGTTGGGCCAGCAAACCACCTATCGCTGCTCAAAAGCTGTTGAGCTGAAAGCCCACAAGATGCATCATTGGCCGGGTTTAGGTTTCCTGGACAATATCTCCACTGGCTCAGCTCGGAAACTTGCCTTATTTCACATACACGGTTTGCTACATAGGTCTTGAATCTACGGGACTTGTTTCTGATGTACTGCAACGTGATTTCGGAATCTGTCCAGATGAAGGTAGAAGAAATATTTAAGTCTATTTCCCTTATGATCATACTGTGAACTGTTGCTGCTATCGTAGCAACCTGTAACTCGAGCCTTGGGACAGAAACATACTGAAGAGGAGCTGTCCGGCTTTTGGCCATGATAACGAACAATTCACCATTCCATCCCATGTTTCTCTTCTTAAATAGAACACTGTCCCATAACCAAATTCAGAGGCATCACTGAAGTGATGTAACTGGAATGATTTACCAGCATGGCAGCCGCCAGGAAAGTGACAACGAGGAATATTGACTTAATTGAGGAGCTCCAATTGCTCTCTTCACTTTGTCCAGCTTCTCAACTAGTCGTCTGGCAATTTCTCATCCCATTGAAGTTAAAGCTGCCGGGTCCTTTGGAGGACTCTCTTAGCTTGGAGCAAGACTGGTCCAATCATGCCAAGCAGATCGAACGTGGAGCTCGTGGTTGACAAACACCCTCGCCTCGTGTCGTCATTTAACTGCTTCGGTAAAGGTGACACCTTCTCTCCCAACGAGTCGGTCTCGGTATCCCACTGCTGACCCAGCGCTCTTTCGATAGGAAGCTTGTCGAAATCCAGGTTTTTAAGCATTCTTTTCTTTGCTGGAATAGCAGCTAATACTTGCTTGACGTTGGACACAAACTTTGTCAACCGAAAGTTCCCCCTTTGCAACAACTCCATCAACTGCAGTGAAGCAGACTACTCTGTGAAACATGCTCTTGATATCAGAGGCTACGGCTACGTCCTCCTTTCTAAATCAGATCAGAACTCCAGCGAGAGAATTGTTCAGCTGTGGTCCTTGCAGCGGTTCTTTTATTCAGCGATGTCCCGCCAAATTCTGTTGCAGTATCGTACAGCACTCGGACTCTTGCTTTATTCAGGTTAATTACACTGTGGTGTGGTAAATACCATGTGCATTCACTCATGTGGGCGGTCTCCTCAGCGGACAACTTCACAGCATACCCCTTTGCAATATAGTTGTTCATCACTGCCTTGTACTGCTTGGCGAATTCTGGGCTTCGGTCAAACCGTCTCTTCAGTTGCTGTAACCTCCTTTCTGCTAAGGACTGGTTGTTTGGAAGCCGAGGGTCTCTATTTCGCCAAAGGGGACCGACCTCGTACTTCCCGTTCTTTAATTTAATCCAGGGGGAGGGGAACTCCGCATATGAAGGTGGTAGGTATGCTCGTCGGAAAATTTTGAATTAAACCCCTCAAAGAGACCGATCTGAGCGTGGCCCAAGCCTTTTTTGACCCCTAAAAGAGACCATGTTAAAACACAGACAAATGAAAAAAAAAGACTTTTAATAATGACAAAGACATTATCATCAAACACTTTTACCCATAAGTAGTTTTTAAAAGCATCGTCATAAATTGTCAGTCCACCTTGCTCGCTTCTTGCATCTTTGTGAAATAGCAAACTTGAAAATGTTAAAAAGAACTGTAACTGGAAAATATCATTAAGCAATATATGCATCATATGCTAAATACTCTGATGGCCGAAAGCTGGTAGTAACCAGCCAAAGTATAGTAATGACGCCTAGTAACGCCAAAGCAATTCGTCATATTCAGATTGTCTCTTTAAAACTTGTTAAAATAGGAATCTACATTCTTAGAAAGAGCTGTAACTATAATATATAATGAACAAATAATATATTATTTAATAATATATGTTACACTATACATTATGAACGCTGCGGTATGCCATTCAACTACTACGCCTTTTTGCGTTTAACACCTCAAGTATAATACTCTTCGACTAAGTCGTCCTTGTGATGTGGGAGCCGTGCCCACCCTTCTACCTTCATCTTCCAAGTCAATGGCTACGGATCTGCTGTTTATTCGACGAAGGGCCACGGATGCTCTTTGCTGCACTTCAACACTTTTGAGAAACTCGGTAACAATGCAAATATCCTTCGCAGATAACTCATAAATGTCATCTTCTTGATTTATTTCGAGGCAAACCTTGCAAATAAGTGAAGTTAACTGCATTGACACAACAGTTTCTTGGTGGTTATAAAGGTTGCTGTTGTCTTCTTCAGAAGTGCGACAGTATTTTGACACAATGACGTTGCACTCTGCCTAAGACGAACTTGCCAGCGCAAGTAGGGTCATAAAATACACAGTCGTCGAATAAAGCAACAGAATCGCCGCTGTCCGTGGAGTCGTTGTCACCTGTCTTCTCACTCTCTGATGATGTGCCTGCACCTCGTACCCGTCTAAGGCGGTCTGTAGACAGTTCAGGGTTATTTCTCAGTTCTGCAATTATTGTACTTTTGTAACGCCTGCTGATGCCGGGTATTAGCAAAGTAGCACCTCGCTTTTCCGCCTCTTTGTTTTTATTGAAGCTGTCGAGAAGGGGATTCACTATTTGGTGAATGTCTTCAACTTCCTCATCTTCAAATGAATCGCAAAGACTGTCAGAGTTAGGCCCGGTTTCAGTTTCTGTGGCTTCTTCCGATTCCTGTTCACGTGCTTCTCTCCGTAAGGTCTCTTGCTCTTCCTCTGTTTCCATGCCTCTTAATGATTTCTTGAAATCAACATACTCCATGGGCTTGTAAAACCACTTGTCATCGTCACTGGTCTCATCTCCTTGTTCATTGATATTGTTATGTTTGCGTATTGGAAACTTAATGTCTGGGTTTGTTGCTTTGATCTCCTCCAACCTGTTCATGTGACCAAGGTTCGTGTGCATGTCAAGAAAAGTGTAGTTGTGGCGGTTTTGTACAAAACTGCCATTTTTGGAGAAGTACCTTTCGCAACAATGGCTTCCTGTTAGATGTAAAGGGCATTCCAGGTCAGGGTGCTCATCGCGAAAGTAAGAAATCAGAATGACAACAAAGTGGCATGACAGAAGAACATCTTGGAAGCATTCTCTAGTGAGAAAGTTTTGCTTCAGGGAAAAGGCATTGGAAATCACGATCCAGTTTCGCCAAAAGCTGAAGAAAATAGCAAGAAAGGCAGCATACTTTATTCTCTCACGAAGAGATGCATGCAGACTGAAGAAAATCTCTGTGTAGTGCCAGGCGACATAGAGGAATGCCCACGTACCATACACTGACACATCTTTAGTAACACCGTTTTTTCTATGCGCGATGTTGAGTAGGCACGTTTGAACTGACAGGAATTTTAAACGTTGCACCACCTCCCACTTTTGGCGATCTTTTCGAGTAACCTCGTCTGCATGTAAGCCATAGGTGCAAGGAGGAAAGGTTGCCATTACTAGTCGCAAGTGATTCATGTAGGCAGAGTATCTTCCAAGCTACAAAATCCTCGTTGGATGGTCTAACGGGCTGAGGATTTTCTCGTCGTTGTGGATACAATCTTGATCGTATAAATCTTTCAATAATCTCTTTCCAGCAGCGGTGACCTCGATTGTGGCCGACTTAATTCAACTTAGATTAACAGGGACAGGACGGTACCGATCAACCACACCGCCCGATTGGTTAAGCATGAGCTTTGTTCAACGAGAATCACCGTCGGAGGCATGACCAATGCCTGGGCCAAGGACAGGATCTAAAATGCTTTCAAAAAGTGTGTCAAGTACAAGTCATTGGTGGAGAATTTCATTGTGTGTAAACCGCAGTTTGCTTGAAGCAGGAGGACGACTCTGGGCAGCTTTTGGTGTAGTGGATTAATCATAATGACTCTGGCATGAGTTGCCACCTGACAATTTTAAAAAGACGTTGGTAGGCGCCATCGTCATCCCCCACTTTAACAACGAAGCTTTCTGCGCAGATGTGACGAGGACCTTTCTTTTCTTTTCACAAACCCTCACACTTCATCGGTGTCCCACTTGTAATCAGGTCGAGGGATGATTGCAGTCTTGTCTTCTGCTTTGATGTAGGGAACAGGTGTGGTGGTGATAGACATCATATACCTTGCATTTCTGTACAATTTTGCAATAGCTTCAATGTTTTGCTTATGTCCACCTAACACATATGTTATTGCGTGTTCATTCCTCCAAACCATTGCAGAATGTACATGCGGACAATCAAGATTTTGAGCAACGAAATCGCACAGACGAGGCCCTCCCATCGTCAGCAACACTTCGTAGAAATCTTTTGTACTCGCACTCTATCTTTTCCCGTTTTCTTTTTGCACAGATTTTTTGACATGGTGCCGAGAATGTTCATTAGCCCTGCCTTTTCTTTCAACTTCCCCTCTTTATAAGCTTTGGCAATGTTGTATGCAATGGCGTTTATATCCCCTCTTTTGGCAAATTCTTTCACNGAGGGATGATTGCAGTCTTGTCTTCTGCTTTGATGTAGGGAACAGGTGTGGTGGTGATAGACATCATATACCTTGCATTTCTGTACAATTTTGCAATAGCTTCAATGTTTTGCTTATGTCCACCTAACACATATGTTATTGCGTGTTCATTCCTCCAAACCATTGCAGAATGTACATGCGGACAATCAAGATTTTGAGCAACGAAATCGCACAGACGAGGCCCTCCCATCGTCAGCAACACTTCGTAGAAATCTTTTGTACTCGCACTCTATCTTTTCCCGTTTTCTTTTTGCACAGATTTTTTGACATGGTGCCGAGAATGTTCATTAGCCCTGCCTTTTCTTTCAACTTCCCCTCTTTATAAGCTTTGGCAATGTTGTATGCAATGGCGTTTATATCCCCTCTTTTGGCAAATTCTTTCACTTTATCTCTTAAGGAATGAACTCTTTGTGTCACACGTGCAAGTTAGCCACTTAACCAAAAGACTCGACGCCTGTAGCACTCGACTTGTTCTTCGGCTTCCCTTATTTTTAGAAGCAACTGATCTCTTGTCAAATACGTAAAATTAGTTGTGCTTGAATCATTAACATTTGAATCAGTATGTCTTTGTAATTTTAATCTAAACGAATCAATCTTTGGAATGCTGTGACAAGCAGAACAGATGCTATTTACAAATGTACCAATACTACCAAATCGTCTACAGTCCCCATGGCGAAAAGATCCAGTTATTGTACCAGACTGAAAGTAAGGCTCACCATACCACAAAATTTCGCCACCATCTGGAGATACGTGACCATCGTGTAGTAAAACTTTGGGATTCAGTATTGTGTTCCCATACTTGACTTGATCCACATGATATCCCAAGCAAGCCTCTTGCTTTTTCATTCGCTTGATGTTTGGGGACTGGACGAACTTGCCTTTGTGCCAAACAAAGAACCGACAAACCTTGTTTTTTACCTTTTGCTGGGCAGTAGGCTGCTTCGATTGAAGATGGCTGCGCACATTGTTTTCAAACGAGCCATGATTAGGATTAAGATAGATGGTGCGGCTGTTTCCAACGCAGTATGAACAAAGAACATGACTGCCCTTAAGTTCGAAGGTACCAGGAGAAATTTTCTTTAGAAATGCTATTTTCTTCCCTTCGTCCATGTCTAAGTTGACCACACTCTCGGAGGAAACGTTGTCTCTATCCGCCAGGGATATGACTTTAGCTTTATGACATGAAGAGTTCATGAAATTCCGCCTTACATTGAATAACCGCTGTTTTGTCAGCCCTGGTGTAATTTGAACATCACATATTTGGCAAACGAGTTTGACCTTCCCTTCTGAATTAATCTGTGGTTCAAATTTGCAGGAAACTGAATACGTCTTTTGATGTTCGAGGGCCAGTTCTTTACAAACCTTCGGAAAGAACTCTTTGTTCGTGTTCTAAAAACAAAAAAGAAAATGCTCAGGTTCTATTTAAAGCCATAAATCCCGCCAAACATTATGTATTACTAGAACAGAAAGTAAGCCAGAGTTAGAAATGGCTAATAATAACAACATACATACATACATGTATGAAACAAACATATTTTTGGCAGATTGGGGAGGTAAAGTAGATTTCTTTGAAAACATCGGTGCATACACCATGAAATAAAGCTCTATTATTACTCACTAAATCATCTTCTCGATGTGTGTTATCATTCACACAACTTTCAGCATTATCTATCATGGTGACTTCGTTTTCCCCATCTGATACATCATTATTCTGTTCTTCCTCTTCTGCTGGCTTAGGCCTTTTTTCAGGTGGCTCCAACTCAGACCCAACCTGTGACCCAGATGCGCTAATCTGGCTGATCACCTCATGTTGCTCTGGTCTGTGTCCACAGTATTCGCAAAGAATGTTCGAACCACTGGTCTCATATTCATCGCATTCGTTACATTCGGTAAATTTTCCATGGCTGACACTTCTCTTGTCTATACCCATTGGCTCCGACATCTGGATATTTCCGGTCTAAATCAATAAGTGATTTAGATATTAGGGACGGACCATTAGAAAACTTACGGGGGGCGGGCGAAGTACAAAAAAAAATATATTTGTGCAAGGGAAAATGAAATGAAAAAAATCGTACACGCCAATTAATCCTAAGAAATATTCATGCTATAACCTAAAAAAATTCGTACAAGGAATTTGATAACGAAAAAAAAATCCTGCGGCTCGAAAATTCCCCTCCCCGGAATAGCTTTTGTAATGGTCCGTCCCTTAGTTTCTTTAACATTCTTAGCAATGTCTATTCAATTTCTCAAACAATGAACACGTGTTAAAACATACCACGTGTCCAGTGCAGAGGACAGTCGTGGTCACGTTTAGGAATTGGCGGCTACTTCCTGGCTACTTTCAAAGCATAGAGAATGTTGAGAAGGTCAAGAAGCAACATGGAGACTGCATCCCTCGAAATTACATGTACTGTAAAAGGCTATCAGGAATGTCGCTTTACTGTTGATGTGGGAGAGGAGTTTTTCATTCATAAGAAGTTTGGTTCCCAAGGAAGAGCATTCAAAGTTATTAACACTAGAGGCCAGTTAGGGCATCTTGAGCGGGCGCTTGTCGCTCCTCTTTGGCCTTTCCAGGACGGGATGAAATGGTAAGCAACGATGCCGTTAAGAACTAATTTAGATTGAGGTTTTGGGGGGAGAATTTAACTTGACCATCACATGTTAAAAGCGTAAATGCCTATCACCTCGTGGCATGACCCGGAGGCATGACTTTGACTTGGCCCAGGAAACTTTGTTTAATAATAACAGAGATTACTTACGTTTGTAGCAGGGTGATTGGGAGACCTTTCGACGATCCAAAAGGAAGACGGCGTGTTGTCGGTGGGGTCAATGGTCCAGTAAAAATTGAAATGGAAGCAGCTCGAAGCTCGATCAGCGAATTAAAGGAAGAGCTATTAAAACTCGGTATTAGGGCAAGAATAAACTAACACGTTTGTGAATATGTTTAGCCGTGATCAATTAATCCTTTTGTGTCAGCAGCCGAGTTTCTTATTACACTCTTGTAAAACAATGAACAAAGACGTCTTCTTTAGGTATTGATGATATAGAAAACTTGGATTATATGAATGGAGTAAATAAAACGAATTAAAAATATACGTATCAAATATATGTTTTTATATTTTTTCGTGTGCAACCCTAAACGAGACCTTCACGGCTGAATATGATGGCATTTTGCCCAGAACACCCTAAGTGGCACCAAAATCCGAAATTTACACCCCTAAGCAAGGCGACGAGCATCCGTACCACCTTCATATGCGGAGTCCCCCCCCCGGGAATTTAGTGGTGTTGTTCAAAATTTCAAGGGCCCTTCTGTCCTCACGGCTGTCGCAACTGTCACCAACAATTCCAAATCTATAGGATTCAGAGTCCCAAAACTTCTCAACTTACTGGTGAAGTCCCATGACTGACCCTTCCTTGGTAAAGTCAAACTCGAATACAGAAAGGGCAACTGGCTTGCTATTATCTTACTTCTTGTTTGTGGGCCGAGCTACACAACATCCAAATGGAGTTCTCATTGCGTATGGCTGGTTCTCCCAGCCATACGCCATCTCCCCAGCAGTAATCGAGAACTATGTGCGCCTGAGGCACATCCTGGCCAATAAGAACTGAAACCTTCGGAACATCCACAGGCATATTCGGCAGTTCTAAATGTGCAAGATGTAGCCATTGTGTTAAATCTACCTGGTTCGGACAATACCGGTCACTAACGTTCAAGTCCTGTATGGCCAAGGCATGAGGTGTTGAGTACAAGGGCCCATCTCGTCTCAATGAGCGTTTCAGAAATTTAACTCTGGTGAGTTCACAGTCGTGTTTCTTGTGTATTACAGTGTTAATGCTCACTTTCTCGGGAGTTCCATAGAGTTGCAATCGTTCAGCTGGGTCCGATGTAATCAAGGAACTGACAGCCACTGAGTCTAAAAGGCCGTACAAAGTGACCATAGTTCCGTTTTCACCCACGATGGACAGTGGTACGACCTTGAGTAGCACAAAGCTTTGTTTTGAGTCTTCCATAGTTACGCTTACAGGTAAGTCTTCACTGAGAGTAGTGCTACGATTAAGGCTCTCCTCACCCTTTTGGGCGCCAGAAGTTGCTGTGGGTAGATGTAGCAGGAAATGGTGGGTCGACGGCTGAGTGCAGCTCTTCACATCACAACCCTTAGTTTTGGGACATCTCTTTATCATATGACAACTGGACAAACACCGGTAACATAGTGCACTGGATCTTGCAAAACGCCGGCGCCAATTCAAACCCTTCTTTGCGAATGCAGAACATTCTGAAACACCATGCCTTCCCTTGCAAACCCGACACCTCTCCTCTTCGCCTCAACCCAACCAAAATGTTCTCCCTTTGTAGATAGGGCCTTGTCCTCTTGGGCAGTATTGGCCTCCTTTGTTTTAATCTCTGTCGACAAGGTGGGAATATGTGTTTCTGCAGACTGTCCTGATGTGGGAAGAGGTTTTTTGAAGTTTCTGCCGGTGTTAGCCCTTATTGCAAGGGTACTAGGTCTTTCGTAGACTGGGTCATTCTCAGTTGGCAACTCGGCAGTTATGAACTCCGAAAGTTCCTTGATCGTCGGCTCTCCACCACCAGTTCTTTCACGGTACTGCTTGGCTGACCTTCTCCACTTGGCCTGCAAGGGGTTTGGTAGATGGTCATAGATTTGCTGTAAGTTCGTAGTACAGTCAAGTTTCTTTGATTGCAGTTCAATCATTGTTCAGCGACAATTTTGCACTTTATCGGGAAGAGCTAGGAGGGCTGCACTGTCACCATTCTTTAACTTTGGGCCATTTACCACTGACGACTTGAGGGCTTCCACTATCATTGCATTTTGTCCAAATCTCTGCCTTAACATTTGCAGAGCGATGTGACAACCACTCGGTAGACCCCGGTAGTTTTCGATTACTTCCCTTGCTTTACCAGCTGTGTAAGTCATTATATAATTCATTTTCGCGCTATGAATCAACGATGCTCTGCTCTTGTCTTGATCTCTAAAGTTAGCTCTGAAACGAAGGTAGCAGGATGGATCTCCATCAAACGGAGCGGGTACAGGCGGGGGTTGCGTCATTCTTAATTCCATCTTTTCTCAGAAGGCTGCAGGTGGTACAAGACTGGTCGCTTCGGCGTTGCAATTCGTTACCATGGGATGGGGTTGCAGTATGCTGCACTACCATTGCTAACAACACATTCCGATTGTAAGGGTACAGAGGGCAAGACAACTTCCGGTGCCTTAGCGTCTAAAGTGCTTATAGATTCCAACTGATTCTCGGCAGGATAATTTAAATGCTTAATTTCTGCTTCAGTTTTCCTTAAATTTCTGGATTCATCTATGGTTTGTATAGGCTCAGTGTTCTGCGAAGACTTCTTTGGTTTAGGCTGATCGTCGGCAGCTGTATCATTGATGTCAGGATCATCCGAGCCCAAAAATTGTTCGTCATCCTCCTTCATAGCGTCTTCATACACTTTCATGACAGCGGCCACAGCTGCACGTTCGGCCATTAGTTTTGCTCTTTCNTACCAGCTGTGTAAGTCATTATATAATTCATTTTCGCGCTATGAATCAACGATGCTCTGCTCTTGTCTTGATCTCTAAAGTTAGCTCTGAAACGAAGGTAGCAGGATGGATCTCCATCAAACGGAGCGGGTACAGGCGGGGGTTGCGTCATTCTTAATTCCATCTTTTCTCAGAAGGCTGCAGGTGGTACAAGACTGGTCGCTTCGGCGTTGCAATTCGTTACCATGGGATGGGGTTGCAGTATGCTGCACTACCATTGCTAACAACACATTCCGATTGTAAGGGTACAGAGGGCAAGACAACTTCCGGTGCCTTAGCGTCTAAAGTGCTTATAGATTCCAACTGATTCTCGGCAGGATAATTCAAATGCTTAATTTCTGCTTCAGTTTTCCTTAAATTTCTGGATTCATCTATGGTTTGTATAGGCTCAGTGTTCTGCGAAGACTTCTTTGGTTTAGGCTGATCGTCGGCAGCTGTATCATTGATGTCAGGATCATCCGAGCCCAAAAATTGTTCGTCATCCTCCTTCATAGCGTCTTCATACACTTTCATGACAGCGGCCACAGCTGCACGTTCGGCCATTAGTTTTGCTCTTTCTCCTTCCTTCTTCGCAGCTTCGACTTGATCAAGTTGTGCGATCCTTGCCTCTAACTCAGCCTGCCTTGCCTTGGCTTCAAGAGCCTTCGCCCTTGAGGATGTGGTTGACAACTTCGAGGACTCAGAGCCCTTTGATTTGATGCTCTTAGCAGAACCCCTTTCAATTTTCTCATCTCTAATCCGCTGATTGGCGTCAATCATCCACTTCTGTACTGTTTCACGAATGAGTCTAACTTCTTGGTACAAGTCATCATAATTCTCAGAGTCCATAATTTGTTCTTCCTTTGTAAGAAGTTCTTGTATTTCTTCGTGTAGATCACCAAACTGCTCAAACAGTTCATTTAGTTTAATAGACAAATCACTGATTAACTCAAGGTTCTTATCATGGCCCAACAGCGTGCTGACGTTAGCAATCTGAGATTGTATTTTTCGTTTAAGTTTATTTCTTTCTCCTTTCCTTTGCACGAGGCGATAGCCTTTGCTCTTTTCGGTTAGTTTCCGAGGTCTCTGATCGATAACGGTCCGATCCAATTCCGTGTTTCCTTGTCCATTCCACATTTCCTCTGAAACACATGCGTTTTCGTCCAGATGCGGCGAGTTTGTCGTTTCGTTCGGCTTTGTAGCGTAACCAGACTCCTTGTTTTCGTTTTCCATTGCGGTAAAGAAGGCTTGAGGTTCACCAAGTGTCAAATCCAGAGTTTTTGTGAGATCGAGCGCCGTATCTTGGCCATCATCGCTCGAAAGATCCCAAACCGACATCACAAAAAAACAAGAATAAAAAACCCTTGTATACCAACATAGAAAGTACTCACGGCCAGTG